AAAAAAAAAAAAGTGTGCTCACTTTAAGTAGTAGTATATTTTCTGAAAAGTGCACTTTTATTTCCCGTCATTCATCAATTTATCGAATATATACCAATACCTACTCAGTCCACTTTCTGCTGAGAGCAAGCAAATGAAAAAAAAATTTTTTTTCATGGAATTCTCTGCAATTAGTAGTAAAGAGATATCAAACAAAATCTGCCAGGCCTCATCCTCCCTTACCTTTCTGTGGTGTTCAAACCTGCTGACACCTTGTGTTTTCCTCTGAAATACCACAGAACCTGGTTCTTTTCACCTAACTCCAGTTATGGCTTCTCTTCCTCTGCTCACTCACCGAACGCTCATTTCATTTAAGACTTAACATTAGGTGTGTGCTACCTCTGAGTCGAACATCCCCCATCTTGTTTAAGAGTCACAGCTTGCCCTACATTAAAATGCAGATCTGTTTGACCCCAAAGTCAAATTGTACCTTCCTACTACACCAACTAAAGGAAAGAGCTGAGAGAACCACAGGAGGGAATCTCACAGCAGCTCTAACTGAGGATAGCTTAACTTTTAGAGAACAGATGTATTCAGAATACATGAAAAATTCTTTTACCACCAGTCTGTACCTTTACCTAAAAAATCCATAATTTCCTATTGCAAACTGTATGATAGGCTGTTATCATCGCAATTTCAATAATAAAATTCTCTGACTTGTTACTTTTGTTTAATATACCCGAGTCATCCCAGTCTCAAAACCTGAGTCACCTTCAACTCTTCTTCTTTTATGCGTGAGCTTTGGGGATTACAACTTGGTAAAATTCATGTCAGTGGTTGTCTCCATAAAGTTCACACTTCTAGGCCTGATGCCATTCCACAATCTGCTGGCAATGTGTCCATGCAGTCTTATATCCAACTTGAAAGCTTGACTCCACTGGCTCCCTCATTCTTCCTGCAGAAAAAGTTGTCATCTCTGCCCTGTTACTTCTATCTTTCTATTCACCAGAATCCTCCAACTCCGACCTTTTCACGGCCTGCTGAAATCCAATCCATCCTTCACACGCTAACTTAGAACCAGTATTCAATAACACCTTCTCTGACTGCCCCAGTCTAAATAATTCTCTCGTCATTTGCAAATATAATTCCTATAGATTCACAATTTGCCACCTGATTTCATGCTGGTTTGTGAGGTCACTTTTACTATATTCACATTTCATTTGAAACTTTTACTTTTAAACTTTTATGTTAGTATCAGCTTCTAAATTAAATTGATTTTCTCTTATACTTCATGTTGATGTTAGGCAATAGTTGTTCATTTGATTTGGCTG